ATTCAGATGAACTATGCAGGATTTTTAACTGCACGTTCTTGCTATCGATTGAGTGAATTTAAAGGAGCCAAAAAATCTGGAGCGAAAGTTTCGAATTTTTAAGCAAAAGCGCGCAATGGGAGAAAAATGTCAATTTTTTGCTCTGCATTTGCAGAGTTGGAAAAAACCAGGGCTTTTAACGCTTTGAACGACATTCTCAGGATTTTTAGTCAAAATTGTCTTCTATAGCGTGAGCAAATTTAAAGTTCCGCGCAAATGAGGAAAAATCTTCCCTACATTTACAGAGTTGGAAAAAATCAGGGCTTTTTTCGCTTTAAACTACATTTTCAGAATTTTTATTCAAATCTATCTCTTACATGGGGAAATTATGGATATTTGCGCCACTCTGAATGGCTCCATCAATTTCATTCTCTACTGCTGCATGAATCGCATGTTCTGCATCACCTTTAGGCAACTGTTTAGGAGCAAGATCCTCAAACGGTGGACGCAACCCGCAAATTCGGACACTTTTACTGTGTAAGTAGCGAATGTTTACATACATTTCAGATGTGCAGGTTTTTTTGGCTTTGGAAAATATATTTTAATGGAAAGCGCGATTTTCAAAATTCTCGCTCATCGTTTGCAGGAATGACACAAATCGAAACTAAATTCTTATTTTCTGGATTTTTCGGTTGAAGCGTCTTTGATGGACTGGGGAAATTTCAGGTTTACACTCGCTCAAAATTGCAAGTTACGAATTTTTATAGAAGAGCGCGCAATAGATAAGACAAATTTTCCTTCTTGACCCCGCATTTACAGGGCTGTAAAAATTATAAGAAAATGCATCCGATTTCAGTGAAATTTTCAGGGTTATTAGGCTGAGATATCTTCTACAGGATGAGAAGGTCTCAATCTGTTTTCCGCTCTGTGTTGGGAGCTGTTAATTTTTAGAGCAAGCGTGCAGTCAAGTGTGATTCATTTTTTCGTTCATCGTTTGCAAGATTGTAAAAAATCAGGATTTTGTGAAATTGAACTCATATTTTCGGCGTTTTTAGATGCAAGGATCTTCTTTTTGGTGGGGAAATTTCAAGTTCATACCCGTTCTGAACTAGAAGTTGGGAATTTTTTGAAATGTAGTGCACAATTGAAGAAATATTTTCATCTCT